CCTTCTTTATTTTTTTTCTTTTTATTTTTTTTCTTTATTTCTTGTTCCTTTTCTAATTTCATGTGATTGTCATGCAAACCTTGATCTCCTTCCCTACAAAGATCAGTACACACTCTATCATTAGCAGTAACACAACCAGTTATGAAGCAAGAAAACATAATCTACGGCCACCAAATCTCCATATATATTAGTTAGAATAGAAATGATAATAAAATATTAAAAATGCAATAAAAATATAAGTAGCAAAAAAGACTTCTGGTACCATATGATACCAATATGGTATACATGTATACTAACAGAGTATATGATTGCTCTAGAATATTGTTACAACTATCTGCGACTATACTACTGTACCAAAACATTAAAGGATGCAATAAAAGTATGAGAAAATTGCATATTCACATTGCAAGCTAAATATTCGCAAAGCAACTTGCTCATTCTGTATACTAACAGGGTATATAGTTGTATGGGGTCATTCCAATAATTGCCTATAACTATAAAAACTATTACACAATACACATAATCTATGTCCATCGGCACAAAAATAAATCCCAACACTGCAAATCATGTTCATATAAATAATTCAAGAATAGAATTCACTTTAAAATGTAGCTAAAACAACTAAAAAAATATTCAAACTACCATATGATACCAAAATGACATATAATTATACCAACATGGTATACAATTTTACTGGTTAATTTCTGACAACTATATGACTATACTACTATTACATAACACACATGCATAAAGAGAAAAATAAAAAAAAATAGTGTACCACATATTAATATAATAAAGTATTTCAAGATATTGTACAATATTACTATTATTAAAAGAAAATCAAACAGTGTACCAATTAAATATAGCTAATACAACCAAAAAAGGTTTCAACTAACATATGATACCAGTATAGTATATAGATATACCAACAGGGTATACAGTTGTACGCAAAGAGTTTAAAAAAAGTTTTTTAATTCAATTATTAAATTGAATTAATATGAGTTATCACATAATCTGATTAACTCAATTTGTGCGTCATCCATTATACTAAAATTTAGATATGTTATAATAATATACTATATACCATTTTGAAATGGAGAATAAATTAATAAAAAATATTCAATGGACATCTATATCCTATTATGAAATGAGAAAGATAGAAGAAAAACGTTTATTTATATTTGAGAAGACAATAAAAGAAAAAATAGGTTGGAAAAACTATTGGGGTTTCACGTGATCCGGGATTAGAAAAGAAAGGATTTTGAAAATAGGTGGTTGGGTAATTATTTTATATTGCATAGGTACACATTGTAAGACAAATTAGAATGTGTGATAACGGGTAATTAAAATTAGATTTCTTACTTGTTCACAAAGAGAAAGCTATAGGTTTAGTTAAAAGGAAATATGCACGATTTGGTATGCTGAGGAAAACAAATTCAAGCAAAAAAGAGGAATGGGTAGCCGGCAAAAATAGATTTTGATGAATAGGTAGAAATTATAATTAATTCCTAGATGGACAAAAATGGGTAATTAGTTTGTGCCTCATAGGCAGATTGTGTAATTCCCTCTTTTCACTAATAACAAAGCTAGCCCAATTCTTTTTAATAAGCAAGGGCTGGCCCAACGCCAAAGCATGTTAAAAAAGGGCCAGCAGTTTTAACACTCAAATAGTTGGCTCATTCCCTTTTAAATCAGTGGTTGTCCACTTTCTAAAATAACAAGTTAACCTAACTTTTCATATTTTTATTTTTAGTCAAATTATCTCAATAAAAATCAGATTTTCTTTTATTAAAATAACTTTACAATTAGTAGGCGCGCTTTAACTTCACGGACTCGCTTGCATAGCGTGATATTTTTTTCATTAAATTAATTCAATAATCTCATCCCATATCCAATTTTAGTTATTTTTTAATTTAATTAATTCCCATAATCACGGATTCGCTTGCGTAGCGCGATAGTAACTTTCAATAAAAAAAAAGTAAAAAAATAATTTCTTTGAATGTAGTAATTTTTTCAAAAGTAATAGCGTACTATTAACCCTTGTCATGACTGTGGATTCGCTTGCATAGCACGGTTATGACAAAATTAATAAAATTCGTCTCGGTCGCACATTCGTCTCCGTGGTGCAGTTAGGACAATTTAATATTATTCAAATCATTCTTTAATAATTTTAATAATTAAAAGCGGATAGGTGAAACATGGAAATCCAATAAAACACAGTTTATCCAAAATCAATTCAAGCCAAGTTTAAGTCAATAGAGCTACCGTGGTAGAACCACGGGACTCGGGGAATGTGTTATACCTTCTCCCCGATCAACAGAATTTCTTACTCGGACTTTGTTTTCGCAGACCAAATAATAAAAGAGTCAAACCTTCCTTTGAATAGGGATTCGAATAAAAGGTGACTTGGAACACCCAAAAATCAATTCCAAGTGACGATTCTGAACAATAAAATAATCTCTATTTCAAAATTGTCACTTCAATCGGAAAAACTCTTTAACCCACAATCCATATCTACATTATCTTTTGGGGGTCAAAAAGGGGTGTGACAATGCTGAAGTTCGAATTTATTTCATATGAGATTCCAGCATAATGTGCTGGAAAATTATACGCAGTAGTTCCATAATCCAACATATTATGCTGGAACTTTCTGCGTTTCAGCTAAGGGTACTTTTGTCCAGGTTTTATCTCCGCCTTAAATAGTGATTATTTTTCAATAACTTTGCAAATCTTGGCTATTTTTTAATAACCACACGTCAAAATGGCTATTCCCTCAATCGATTTGAAATACTCGAGAACATTGAACGTTCAATTGACAGCAATTGTCAAGAGAGAGACAACTGAAATTGTAATTCATGTCATTACAACTTAAATTTGAACTTACTTTACCATTTTAATCCAAAAAAATGTGGAAAAGGTGGGAAAGCAAAAGAGTTCTCTCTATGCAAATGCCAATAACCTGTACGTAGGAATTGATTCTAAAGCTTAAAGCATAACCACAAGATACTTCTCTTACAGAGTCGGCTCTGAAAGGGGTTTTCTTTTTGGTGAAGTTGACGCGATTGATATGAACATTTAATTTGTTTCAAATATATTTTATCTCCACATATATGGTGAAAAAATGTTTCAAATATATTTTATCTCTACATAAATGGCGAATAAAGTTGGCACATGTTATGCCAAATAACAACTTATTAAAGATGCAGCTTTCTGTGAAATATCATTGAATGAGTAAAGTGATTCAGAACATTTCAAACTTCTTTGGAAAAACTACACACAACCGATGAACGCTAAGTGTATTTCTCTAACAATCTCCCCAACTTATAACCAGGTTCTTACAAGTGGATTTTTTTTTCCCTTTATTTGTTTTTCTAAAGTAGAGAAAGATGAGGTTCAACAAAATTGGGCATAGAGTGGAGAGACAAATTAAGCTCAATAAGCTAATGAGCCAATAGTGGTTGGATGGCAGGAAGCCCAAAACTGTTTCATGGACATGGACTGAATTGAGAAAAAAACAGAGAGTAACAGAAGATAAATCAATTATGAAAGTAGGCTCACCAAATTTTGACTCTAATATCATATTAAAGAATCTGAATATCTAACCCAAAATCTTAAGGCAATAGGTGAATTGATCCATATCATTTTGCGAGCTTACTTTATAAGATACATAGCTTTTCACGAGTGTACCTATTTTACAATCTAGCTCCATAATATCACTTTTACCATTCTCCAAAAATCATACCATATAGTTAAAGATTTACAACTTACAATAGAATGATTGTAGGAGCTATCGATATGGGAAAATGAGCTTATTGTTCAAGACATGTAAATCCTACTAGAACTAGAAATAGTACATTAAACATAAAAAATCTGCAATGATTCAAGAAAGATTAATGGCACTTCCGCATAGTTTTTCTAATTCGTCTTCCAATACAGTTCGCAGGTTAGCCTTGGTTCGCCTATAGATCCAACCTTGAGAGTTCTGGTCCCAGTCAAACCTTGACGGGCCGCTGCAAGAAATATGTTTCGTGAAGAACACAATGGAGAATGGATGGGTGCATATCTGAACACCCAAACTTTAACACAAACCAGAAAGAGCAAATGATTATAGTATGGTATGCCAACTTCATCAGTAAAAGCTCAAAGACAAATAAAAAATCACAATGCATAGAAGTGATACTGCTACAAATATGCAGAACCCACTGCCAAGTAGACTAGTACTATTTTTGGTTAATAAAACTCGGAAAATTTAGACAGTATGTAAAACCTTTTTTGTTTTGGAGTCCCTTTAGCTTCACTTTCTACACCTGAATCAGAATTATTAAAAGAAAATGAAAAATATAGAAATAGCAAAAACTTATCCAGTCAACCCTTTACGAAAACAAGTATCAAACAGTTCCTTCACTTTTCTTCCATCAGCTAGAACCCACTGCCAGGGTGAGTCGTACTAGGGAAATGTGGTAATGAACAAACGCTTCATCAAAAGAAAAGCACTTCGATCTTACTTCAAATATCAATCAGTTAAAGAATGTGGAAGAGGTCAAGCTCTACATGAAAGAGACAACTGCTTGTAATCAGTTGATGCTTTTAGCACAAGTAGAGAACTGGAAAATTACATGAAGAATAATACTAAGATCAATAATTAGGGAATGTTATGAAGCCTAGATGCTGATGGAAATGCTAAATCGTGAAATCAGATTGAAATGAGCACACTGGGTTTAGTTAGATATCACAAGTTTAAAAGTACCTGAAGAATAATACCAAGATCAATAAATTAGGGAATGTTAAGAAGCCTAGATGCTGTTGGAAATGCTAAATCGTGAAATCAGATTGAAATGAGCACAGTGGGTTTAGTTAGATATCACAAGTTTAAAGTACCTGTGGAGGAACTCACAATGGACAACCAGCCGCATTGGTTAAACCAGCAAATTCAGTCAAGATGTTAGTGCAGTGTCTCAAACAAAATAAAGGTTTTGAATTTCTCCTCAAGAATCCAGCTCTAGAACTATTTCAAAGAGTATAATATTTAGATGCAATCAACATGCTGTTTGACAATCACAACCTAGTGGTAGTTTTCACGAAAAGTTAAGACAATCTTCAAATTTTGGTAAGAAGTCATGGTTTAGGTAATTCTAACGTTCTTCCTAAGCAACCAACCATTAGTTTCACAACCGCAACATCCTACGGCCATATGCAGTCTTTAATGAAGAATGTGGAACACTGGGAATCCGATTTCACTTCGACCACATCCAGAGAGAGTACAGGGAAAGCCGCTCCATGATCCACACGCTCTTTCGACATGAGCCTATACATACTGCTAAGACCCATACACTGGTACCATAATGATCGCTTGCTGCTCCAAAATAATCTGTGCGTAAATATTGGACTCCTCATGGTTGTTTCTTTAATGTTGACTTTGCATCACAGATTCTTTTTCCTGAGCATGCTGAAGTGTTATAGAATACTGTACATGATGTACAAGACGTGTTTCCAAATTGACAAAAGGAGAATTGATAGAGGTGGCACAGGGGATGGATATTTGTGGACTACATTGTGGGGCAGGTTGATTTTTGGTATAGTCCACCAAGAAAATATGGAAATAAAAAGACAAACCAAGACACATTAGAAAAGCAATGAGGGAGGGAGGGAGGGAGGGAGAGAGAGAGGGAGAGAGAGAGATTTTGCTACCTCACTGGCAAAGACATCCAAATCTGCCTATTGGGCGCTTGTTTGTTTATCACATAGGTTCCCAAGCCCCCAAGCTTCAGCGTTAATACCTCATTCTGAGAACAAAATGTAAAACATCAGGACAAATACAGGAAATCGAAAGAAATACATTTTAATGAATTTTATCCTTCTCACCCCATAATCCACATCGAAACCATCAATATCAACTGAGTCTCCATATTCCTGCAAGTAGAACAAGAGATAACTTTTAACAAATGACCAAATAATGCAGAATGCTATCATACATACAATACAACGGTACAACCCAACTCAATTTTGACATTAGGAGATTGATGAACAATTTTAACAAGAGACGGACAGAAGTGGGGCTGAATGAGGCCATAGTCTCTCCACGGATGAATAACCCCATGTTTGGAGTAACGTGCTCCTCAACTCCCCGAAGAAAAAATAAGCATCTTCAACCAGCCACTTGGGAAATACAATCCAAATGACATACATAGGGAATTCTGATATTAGTGGAGTTCAATCTCATTTACACTCGAAGGCTGAGTTCACTTCGTCAACTTAACAAAGATGGATTTCGATGTTAGAAACACCTTTCAAAATTTAACTGCAACTTTTCTTTGTTTAGGCCTCTAAAAGTCAATTTAGGCATTGGTATTGATAAATAGTCCATGCACAAGAGATAAGCTCTCTGTGGTATCTTTTTGATACTGAAGGTAAAGAGGAATCCAATCTAAAGTTTTTAATTTCCGGTTGTGATATCAGCACAAATTACTGATATTATTTTTGAAGTTGGTGCTAGTTTATAGTAAACCAATTGTAACCTTTTTGTATTTACTGTTACCATTCTCAAAAAAAATTGTTACCTTTTTTTGCGGCCCCCCAAGATGAAACTTCTGGCCTCACCCTGATAGTTAAAAAGTTCATCATACTTTTAAGTTTTGTGGAGGCCCATACTTAAAATGCATTAGATTTAAGAGATGTTCCTGATACTATCAAAACTTTTAAAAACAAAAAAAGAAGATATGACGTACATAACGATCTAAAATGTATCAAAACCAAATTTGAGACAAAATTTACAGATAACCAGGAAACACAAATGTAGGTTTAAGATGCTGGCCCAGGCCCCAAATCAGAAATGTTCCCTTAAGACCCTCTTAAACATAAATTTGCACTTAGAAGTTTCAGAATGCCAGCTGATGGCCTAATTCACCGATTAAAACTTTCAAATGTAGTGCCTACAATCCACAAATATCACTCTTGTCCTATAAGTTAAGCATCCATAATGACAAACAAACTCAACAATAAGATTGACTAAATAAACATCAGCAATCACATGAATATCAAAGTGCAACCATTAAGATAAAGGTACATATACAGGGAAGCCTAACTAAAATATAAATACAAATAAGAAAACACTTGAACTAAGTATATCAAAATACATCAGGATACCTCCAACTTCTCTAGCAAGTCATGGATAGTAGCATTAGCCAGTCTGTGATACTCATCTTCCTGCAGCAGAGAACTGTAGATTTATAAATTTAGATGTTAGATACAAACACATTTTCCTCTACATCAATAAAGTTCCAACTAAGGAAGGACATTCTAAGAATGACATAGAGGAGACAACCTCCTCTGTAGATTTAATAGAGACACAGGCGCGCACACACAGAGGCGCGCCGGGGCTCGGGGGGGAATCAACAGTACTGTACATAAGACACAAATCTAAGTGCCAAGCACTGATTATGTGGGACTAATTGATATGCAGCAAGATGGGAGCTTTAGCAATAAGTTGTGAATCCATTGGACGACAATCCATAGTGCAAATGTTTTAATAATACTCTTCCCTCTAACACCTAGAAAAAAGATGTACCATCAAATTTCAATATTTCCCAATTTACTTTTCATCTGTCATGCTTTTCTTACTTTTCCAATAATTCAGTATTAGCTTTCCGGACAATTTAGTATTCCTCCGTATAAGATCTATAAGAGCCAGGTAAAACAGTTTCATATTTATGTGCAGCTATTAGAAGCTTCTCCTGACTTCTTTCTTCTACTTTTTGTATAAGACTTATGATTTTACATCCACCTTAACTTTACCCCACATCAACAATTGAACATCAACCATGCAATGCATAATCAGTAGAAACAAACCCAAAATAGCTATTCGTTATCAGACACAAGATTAAATCAACATTAAGACTCATCTACTACCACAGTCACTTCTAGCACTGGACCACAGCTTCCACAAATCAGTATATTAACCTGCAGAGGCATTCTCTCCTCAATTACATAGACAGACAATCACATTTTCCCTAAAAGTCAAAGACTCTCTGAGATAAGGTATAAAATGAGAACATTAAGCTGCTTAATCAAAATAAGAAAAATTCCATCTTTAAACATTTATGCTTTTGCACCCATTATAGTGATGATTAGCCATTAGGCGAAGGAGCAGAGGGAGGGAAATCAAAAAGAACTTGTGTGTTTGGTATGACGGGAAATGTTTTCCTCAATGAAGTTGTTTTAACGAATATGAAAAAAGTGATTTACACAACTTATGCCACTTAAGTCTTTTTTCTTTTACAAAAATCCAAACTTTTTTAAATAGCACTTATTTCAAACAATGTTTAGACATTGATTATTTCAAAATTTTCAAGTATAGTACTCACTCCAGTTTCATTTTATGTGAACCTATTACTATTTGAGGAGTCAAACAAAGTTTTCTTGGACCATGTTATTTGCAAATACTTTTTAAAAAAATTGAATTATTAACTATTGCACTTATATAGTACTACTATTTATGTAGTTTCTAACTATTTAAATTTTATTTTGAAATTTTTTAAAAATTCAATGTCCGAGTTCACACCGAAAATTAGTACAGTTGACCCTCGGTGCTCCGGAAAGGTTCACGTAAACTGGAACGGAGAGTAACATCCTACGGTAGTCCAATTTTTGCAACAAAAGGCATTAAGATCAAACTAGTTTCAAACAAATTGGAAATTAAGAAATTCTGCTTATAAATACTCAATCTTTATTCAAGAAAATTCTATAATCACTCAAAAAAATGAACAAAAAAATCCCAAACATGGAGGTTGGAAGCAAGTAACTGGAACTAAAATTGTTACACATATAGCAAACATACCGGTAATCGATAGCGGCAGGACCTTGAGAAGCATCTGGAAGAGGAGACGAACGCGAGCAATAGCTTCTAGAAAGTTCTGAGAGAAACGATTTGGAAATAGTAACCGAAGGTTCTAGAAGATATTTATTATGAGTAGAAGAAGAAGAAGAAGAAAGAAATGATCTTTGTATTATTGAAGAAGAGGGAGAAGGGGAGAAATTAGGTTTGAGAGCTCTGCAAAGCGGTTTTCGAAGTAGAAGCAGCTTTTTGGAAGAAGAAGCAGCCATTTTTGCACCGTAGGACAGTTTCGACTTCGCCGTTTTAGTTATTTTACAGAGGCTGCCAAATGGGCCAAACTCACTCATTAAGCCCATCACAATAAAAAAGAAATTGGGCCTTCAATGTTCGAACTGGACATGGGAAGAATCCCGAAGAAGGAAGAAACGTGGAAATGACACTATATAGTCACTTTTAAATATGTTATTTAAAATATATCCATAGATTATAATGTATATTGAACAATTTGCTCAAACTTCAAGATGCAGTGTCTAATGTTTAAACCTCAAAGTTCAAACTTCAGGACATTGTGTCCTAAAGTTCGAAAATTATGTCCAAAAATTCGAATCTTATGTTCTGAATTTTAAATTAGCAGTTCAGAATTCAGGACATTTAGTCATGAACTTCAAATGATCAACTTAAAAATCAAGGACACTAATTCTTGAATTTCAAATTAGTAGCTCAAAATTCAGGATAATTAGTCCTAAAGTTTGAGTGAATTGGTTAATCCTTAAGTACATTGTAAATTGTGGATATATTTTAAACAGCAGGCTTAAAAGTGATTACTGGTTACATCGCCAGAAATGATACCAGATAGCCACTCTAAAGGGCTGCTATTTAGGAATTAGCCAATGTATCCTGAACTTTAGTTTTCCAGTTCAATTTTTCAGGACAAAAATATCCTGAATATTTTGAAATTAAAAATTTTTAGTTCAAATTTTTCGGACAAAATAAGTATCAGCTAATCCTAAATAGCAGCCATTAGAATGGATATTTGGACATTTCCCCGGAAGAATGACACAATTTTGAATCATTTGGTGCTACCACTTAAATTTTGATCCCGGTAAAAAAATAAAGCTTTCTAGAAATAACTTTCTGTCATAATTTTGAAGGATGTTGGTTAGAAATTCTTGGGCAAGTCTTATGGTGATTTGTCAGAATTCTAATGGTTGCCATAATTTTGTAAGCCACGATGATTGTCACAAAATTTTGATGTTTACTATATTTTTGTATAATTGGCTACAAATTTCTAATTGATCATTAGAATTTTTCGTATTGTGACTAAAATTTTGGTGATCGTCAGGATTCTTGGTGTTTTAGAATTATGACCAGTGTTATCGATTTATTTTTTCAAAATTATCCTTAACGGGATCAAAATATAAACAGTGATTTAAAAAAGGTCCATCCAACTTCATTTCTTGTTGGACATGAACCACTTAACATAAAAATTGAATTCGTGATCTCTTAGTCATAGTATCACTACCATACTCGCATCTGATATTACAACAAATAATATTAATTTTGTTAAGTTTAGAATTTTAATAATGTTCAATAATCTAAACAAGCCTTGACTAATGACATCTCATTGTGTGCAGGATTCAAAGAGACACGGCATTGATGAAAGGAAAAAAGATCATATGGGAAATTAGAGGAACTCAACGGCTATGTATGTTGCACCTTTGCATCAAATGGAAAGAGAATCAATCAATCAAAGAACAAAGAAGGAAAATCAATCAATCAGACTTGCTAAAGAACCTCAAGCGCGCAAGAAAGGAAAGAGAGCTAATCACGGCTAGAGAACAAATCAAGAACAATCTGCAGAAGCTCTAATCAAGGATAAATGGAGGAACTAATTCGTCAAGATTAAGGATGAATCTAGTTACCCTTTCAAGCTAGATTCATAAGGCTACCCTTGGGTCTTACTCTTGGATATATATGACTCATAAGGAAAGGCTTCCAATAATTGTTGCTATGCGATCCCAGAAGACAAGGAATTAAAAGACTCATCAAGCTATAAAGGAAGAAGTAGTAGGGCATCGAAGGGCACACAACTTCGCATCAGTTTGTACACCTTTCTAATTCTTAGTACAAATACTGTATTCTTGAGTCTACAAGTGTCGTAAAAGATAGGAAGAGTTAGAAAATAAAACAATAGCTGTGTCAACATTAGAAAGAAATATTGTTGTTGTATATCGTTGGTGGTGAACGTATTAAAATCATCATTGTTGTAAATGCTTACTGAAGCTTTTCTGTTTGCTCTGTTTATTTATGCTGTAATTAATTCTTGTGTAAAGTTTAGTTGACTAATTTCCTACATAGTCAACTAAGTTTTACAAATCGGCTACAATTCATCCCTCCCTCCCTTGTACTTTCAATTAGTATCAAAGCCAGGACTCACAAACATAGCTTAACAGCAAGTGAGCAAAAGATCATGGCCTCAAACACAGTCATTGGAGAACTATTTCAAGAAAGAACTTCTCATGTACGACCTCCTTACTTCAATGGCCAGCACTTCTCTCATTGGAAAGTGCGCATGGAGACCTATACTATAGCATATGACATTAAGGTTTGGCGTGTGATCAAAAAAGGAAAATCTTCTAATTCCGCCATATAAGGATAAAAACGGTAAAATCATAGTATCATTTGATCCTCTTGATTTAGAATATTACACTGAAGAACAAGCGGTTGTTATCCAAGTGAATACGAAGGCAAAAAAATTATTGTACAATGCTTTAAGCGAAGAAGAATATGAAAAGATATCTAGCTGTGAAATTGCAAAAGACATGTGGGATAAGTTAGAAGTCACATATGAAGAAACTAACAAAGTGAAAGAGACAATGATTAATCTCCTGGTTCGAGATTATGAATTGTTTCAAATGAAGAATGGAGAATCAGTGGAGGAAATGTTCTCTAGGTTCAGCAAAATCCTTGAAGACTTGAAATCCTTTGGTAGACCAATCAGAAGTGGAAAATAAGTCAGCAAAATTCTGAGAAGTCTCCCCACAATTTGACAACCCAAAGTTATTGCTTTGGAATGTCAGGATCTTGACAAAATATCCTATGATGAGCTCAGATATGATCTAATTGCGTTTGAGAAAACACATTAAGACATGCAAGTCCAACAAGAAAAAAAGAAGACAGTTATGTTCAAAGCAATTGTAGCTGAAGAAGAAGAAGAAGAAGAAGAAGAAGAAGAAGAAGAAGAAGAAGAAGAAGAAGAAGAAGAAGAAGAAGAAGAAGAAGAAGAAGAAGAAGAAGAAGAAGGAGGAGGGAGGAGGAGGAGAAGAAGAAGAAGAAGAAGAAGAAGAAGAAGAAGAAGAAGAAGATAAGAATATAGCTATGCTCTCTAAAGTTATAACAAACATGATAAGGAAAAACATAAATAGCAGAAGAGGTAAATCAAATTTCAAAAAATGAAAAATGAATAATGAAAATGACGGAAGATGCTACGAGTGAGAAAACCATGGACATATTCAAGCCGAATGCCCTGAACTGAAAAAGAAACTAAGAAGGAATTTCCAAAAGAAGAAATCCTTTGGAGCTTGGAGTGATGAAGAAGAATCTGATCATGAGGAAATCGCCAACATGTGTTTCATGGCCATCAAAGAAGATAGCGATGAAGACTCGAGTGAGCTTGGTCTCATGGCCGACGAAGGAACAACTGAGGTACGTCTTCCTACATATCCTAACTGTCATGAACTCCAAAAATTTATTGATATTGCTCTTGAAAATATTGAGAAAGTTCTAAATGAACTTCGAAAAATCCAAAGAGAAAATAAAGACTGGGCTCTGAAATTAAAGTTTGTGAAATTCAGAGAGATATGCTTCAAGATGAAGTTAATGAACTTCAACTGAATGGATTGCGAAAATCCACCAGTCATAGCTCAGTTAGATCAAATCAACTTGCTCCTCATAATTTACCAACTAGAACTAGAAATCGCTCTACGTGCACTCATTGTAGCAAAAATGGCCACACCTCTAACCACTGCAGGCTTAGAATCAGAGGAGAAAAAGTCTCTAAAATTCCAATAACATCTCCTATTTTTATTGTGGAAAACCCGGTCATAATTCTAATCATTGCAGGTTTAAGAACAACAGGAGATGGGTCTGGTGACCCAAGCCCTCTAGTCAAGTTAATATTTAGAACACTAACCATTCAGGACCCAAGCAAGCTTGGGTACCTAAAAACAAGTAAATTATTTTTGCAGGAACACCGCAAGAAGAATCGAAAAGGGAAATGGTACCTTGGTAGCGCGTGTTCCAGATATATGACAGGTGACAAATAACTGTTTAAAGCTGTCCCCAAACTAGATGGAGGAACAATCACCATTGGAGACAAATCAAAAGAAAATATAATTGGAGTTGGAAGAGTTCCTCTAAGCTAAACATGTGACGTAGACGAAGTGTACCTGGTTGATGAACTTGGCTACAACCTACTCAGTATTACTTAACTATGTGACAATGATTATGAGGTTTGTTTTAAAAACCATGGTTGGTTTATTGAAGATGAATCAGGTAAAGTTATTCTTTCTGAAAATAGAGATAGGAATGTTTACACCATCAGTAATATAGATAGTCTTGGTAATCAGATTTGTCTAGCCTCTATGATTGATGATCATTTGGTGTGGCATAGAAAACTTGGTCATGCCAACATGCATACTATTCATAAACTTTCCAAAAATGATCTTATCATTGGTATTCCAAAACTAGATTTTTCAAAAGATCAAATCTGTGATGCATGTCAACTAGGAAAACAAACCAGGTCCACTTTTAAAGTTAAAAACATAGTGTCTACTACAAATTCTATTCAACTCTTGCATAAGGACCTTTTTGGTCCAACTAGAACAACTAGTATAGGTGGTAGAAAATATGCCTTTGTTATAGTAGATGATTTTTCTCGATTTACCTGGGTTATTTTTCTAAGTCATAAAGATGAGGCATTAAGAAATTTTGAAGTCTTCTGCAAGAAGGTACAATAGGAAAAAGGTTACTACATATCTTCCATAATAAGTGACCATAGAGGAGAATTTGAAAGCAAAGCATTTAAGAACTTCTGCAATGATCACGGGATCTCCCATAATTTTTCATCTCCAAGATCACCTCATAAAAATGGAGTGGTAGAACGGAAAAATTGAACCTGGAAAGATATGGCAAGAACTATGATTGTGGAAAATTCCCTTCCATACCACTTATGGGTAGAAGTTGTAAGCACACCATGTCACATTATTAATAGATGCTTAATTCGATCTATTTTCAAGAAGACTCCATA